CATGGCATAGAAAATGACTAAATCATAAATACAAAAAAAAAAAATATCTTTTCTTTCTCAGAGCTTCAAAATACGATGGTTAGTTTTTTTAGTGTTACTAAAATAAACTTTAATCAAAAATGTTTTATCCGCAAAAAAAAAAAGAGAACAGCGAAGAAAAGGCTGACAAAATGCTTTCATAACTGTTCTAAAATTGACACTTTGTTGTTGGATTCTTAGGCTCTTTAGCGTCTCCTACAACACCTTTCAGCCACAGAGTGCCGATCTAAAAGAATGTGAAGGACGTATAACATAAATTGTATTTTTGTCTTCTATTGTTAAACTGGCCCAGGCCCTTCACCGGCACGGCTCCAATTTCGAGAAACTGTTTTTTTCTTTACTAAATTCGTTGGCATTCTCTTGTTCTTAGCCATCATAACAATAAATGCCAGTAAATTCTTTACATATATCAAACTTTCTTATAAAGATTTATCTAAAAGAAGTGACCAAATAGTGGTGAAAAAAAAATGGCGCCATTTGCATAAAATCATATTACTGATACCAAGAATTTTGTGACCAGTTTGAAACCGTTCATTTCTTGAAGCCATCGCTGCTACTAGTGATAGTGAGTAATATGAAGCCTATGAAATGGACAAACAAACCCAGTGGTTTCAGACGGAACGAAGAAAACTGAGAGCTTTTTCCGATACCGCTAATTCATTGCATAATGTAGGCGGAGCATCTGTTTGTGTGTTCTGGCCCACCACAACCCGATAACGACAATAGCGACGATGATGAGGATGATAATATATTTAATGATGAAGATGATGAAGACGACAATGAAGTAGCCGCTGGTCACAAAGTACTCGATCAATGCACTGACCATCTGCCGGAATATCTGAGCATTTCGCTGTCACATGCGGTTCGACATTGTTATTCTTATAGCCAGTGATTATTATACGGACAACTGAACCAACCAAAGGATTGAATTGGTGAAAATCACATGCTGTTGTTATTATAGACAATCAAAGACAGAAAATGCCATGGTTTTCAGGATTATGGCAGTCAGTTCTGTTGGGATAATCATCAAAATGTATTTTATCGCCTCCTGTGGTAGCTTTAGTAATCAGGATGGAAAATCTTATATAGTCATAAAGATCCTAAATTTTTTTTTTGAACGTTAACAATAAGCCTTAATTTCTCATATTTCCTTTATGCATACTAAAAGTATTATATAATCTAACATCCAACATTAAAGATCCGTGTCCTGCCTAAAACTGTTAGTACTACATCATTAACTATTGTTATTGTCATTATTACTGTCGTTATCACAGTTCTTCCTGTTATTGGACGTACTATTTTCATTTCTAACTTTCCACTTGACTTTCAATCCTATGCAGAGTTGGTCGCAGTAGATTTTGCTCATTTTAGTTGACCATAAATACTAATTATTAATATCTTTGTACTAACCAATCGCGACTTCTTTGAAAGGCTTATTTCCTCATTTGTTTATTTGTTTGCGTGATTATGATAATCTCAAAGAAAAGAACGCTCCGCTGCGCGATAAGAAAGTATAAAATTTAAAATATGATCTATGGAGCGCGTATATTTGAAATACAAAGAAATTAACTTCTTAATTTTATAATACTATGCAGAGTTCATAAAATCAAAAAGAAAAAAACCCTAGGAATGCTTAAACCATCCTATTTTGATCACTGCTGAAACTTTTTTTTGAAATAATTTTTTCAACGAACTACTAACAAGGAGGCATGGAGCCTCTGAAACAGTCTGAAACTTGTTGTATTTCCAACACTGACTTTTAAGCTAGACACCTAGTAAAAAAACATAATAAGCGGTCAGTAATATTAAAATCAAATCGTGCGCTAAATAAACGACTGAAGATTAGCAGTGAATTCCTCTCTAATCCAGTGATGGTTTACAGGCCTAAAACAATCGCAAAATGACCAAATCAAATGAATCCAAAAAGTGAAATGAATAAGTAGCAGGTTAACAGATGGAATCAGTGTACAAAGATGACTGTTGCACATCCTTCGAAAAGCCGGACAAGATACATATTTTGGCCCGGATCTTTGCAAAAATCAAGCCAGCAACGTAATAAAAAAATAAGCAAACCGTGTTCGCATGAAAATTGATTTTGCGTCATAGATCTTTGAGTAAGTTCTGATTGATTTCTGGCAATTTTTATCCGCTTTCATTTTCACGTTAACGCAAAAGAAGCCTTTCGATCCTACCAATAATAACTGTCATTGGGAAACAATGATAAAAATTCGTAATGTGCTGGTGATTCATCA